GGCATTTCCTGATTAGTAAAACATCTCTATGAATTTGACTTTTATAGATCCAGCCTTAACATCTCTCCAACTTGTGCTGAATTAATAGGAAGCAAACAAATTTAGGTGGACACATTGAATGGCCCTTGAAACCTTTACGTGATGGGAGGTAAATCTAGGGGGGAAAAGTAATGGAAAGTTTTGTTTGACTGGGGTTGAATTCATATACTAAGTCAAACTAGGGTCATCAAATTAAGCCACAGCTTAATTCATGCAACACAATGTACTAAGACCTAAGGTTAAGGTGGTATTTTGTACCCACTCTTGTCATGTTAAAAATGACAATTTACACTTCAAAAATTCACTAAACAAATGAATAGCCTATGATCATTTTAACCCATTATCAGTTTTACCAGAGGTTTAGGAATCACTCCAAGCTCCAAACCGCCAGAATTTGTAATCTGCAATATAGTTAATGCATATTCACAACTTCAAAAAGATCCAAAATGGTGGCCAATCTATTTGTTAAGCAACTGCATAAAGAAACAAGTAAAATGGCATGTGCACACTTGTTAACCAAGGTCTTGAGCATGCCATGCAAATACAGCCTACGCTATGGGAACTCAATGACTGTCATTTGGAAACTATGATTTACAGCTTTGTGTAAAGTAGAAAACCAACTAGCAAGCCATGTGCTAGCATAGTGTGCAAATCCAACTAGCAAGCCATGTGCTAGCATAGTGTGCAAATCCAAAGTATAGTTAAGCATTAGTTTTCTTTGATGGATAAGTAGGGTTTAAATACAATAAATAGTTATTAACTCCAGTTCTATTCTAAGTATGTCTTGCACAAGGAAGGCTCCTGTTATTTTTTTCTATTTTATATATTTAACTTGTTATAACCAGCTTTTTAAAAGGAAGCCTATGAACACTGTAAGGTATTTTTTTACTGTGCTGTTAGATCACAATAGAAGCTGTTTTCACACAGTCCTTAACCCAATTAACTGAATCAACTCATTTTCTGAGTTCACACTATGGTATACCCAACCACATGTTAACCAAATAAGCTAAAGCTGCACAATATAAACTGAGTTATCAAAACAAGCCAACGTTGGTGTACAAAGAATTTGCCTGTGTGTATCCCCCCTTTATCCAAGGATGCTGTAAAAACATACAAGGGCAATCACGTCATTATGAGTATGAATACCATTCTTGTACATTTTCTACTCTCAAACATGCCCTATATCTCTATAAGAAATATTATTTAACCAACCTGCAACTATTTTCTTGGTTAAATGTTGGGCTATTAATTCCTTTAGTTGCCACTCACCCAGCCAGTGGAACATTAGCCATAAATTAAGAGATTTGTAACTCAGAAGACATGGGTATTATGAAAAAAGTTGTATTTAGCTCTCACAGCTTATAGTTATTGGCAGACATCCCCCATTAAGTGGGTCAATTATTTCTTAAAACATTCAAATTCTTTTCTCTCTCTCACATTCAAATTCTTTTCTCTTTTTTTACAAAAATCACAACTGTACCTACTGAAGCATAGGTGTGAAAATGTTTGGTAAAGTGAAGGCCCATAATCTATCATCTCTGTTCATATACCTTAAGCCACTCCCCAGTTCTCTAGAATTGTCCCATGAGTAAAGAACTTCCATATCAATGAGTTCATACACAATAAAGATAGTGGTCAACAACATATTTTGTAGTTGTGAAATGTGTAAGTTCATTATAAATTGTAGGAAGAATTCCTCTGCCGCCTGCATAAATGAACCGCCATTAAGTCTCCAAGAATGTCATGGCTTTCCCCTCAAAAGTCTGTTTAAATGTGAAATTTTTATTTTTATTAAATTTGTTTGCCACGCATCTCACCACAAAGCAACTCTGTATAGCACTTATGGTTTGCCACTGGCTGCTAAGTCATATCCATGAAGCACCACAAAACTTCGTTTTTCCTGAATGAAAAATCAAGGTTTCTAAGTGAGCTTGTTTCCATTGCTAAATATTATTGAATTACAAAGAAAATCAATAGAAATATCAACACTTAGGTTTGCCCGTGACACTTAATCCTATGTCTATTGTTCCATTCAGTTGCTCATGATTTATGAGGCATGTGTGTTATAGTTAACAACCAATTCAGTTTCAAGCCAAAATATTGATTTAACCAAGCATGGTTTAGTTATTAATGGATACCAAGTCTCTATGACCATGTATAAATAGTCGAGTTATGATCATAATTGAGCCCAAAATTTGTTAAGTAAAATTTCTGTTGTTAAAGAAGTCCCATTTTACAACCTTTTTGCCACAGTTTAACAAATTACTCCAGTTGTGAATCTGGAGTAATATGAATCTGGCTTTGTTCATTGACTTTGCTTGTCTGAAGCCAATTGGGAAAATTACAAAATGGCATCACATAAACCCGTCAGTGCAATCATCATAAATTCATGACAGTTGCCTGATTTTTGATCACATGACCATGGGGATACTACAACAATCCTAAGCATGAAAACCAGTCATAAAAGTCATTTTTCAGTGCCATTGTAACTTTAGTCACCAAACAAATCGTTGTAAATCAAAGACTACCTGTAAAAATTTTATAATTGCAACATCTATAAGTAAGAATATTATAACTGTCTAAACACCAACATGTTATTTATCTATGTTGGTTCATCAAATCTTTCCTTCTTAATCATTCATATGAGGGGAAAGAAGTCTTGTTGAATCCCATCACAAAGGTGGGAAATATGTAATATGTAGATGAAAATTTAGGAGCAAATGTAGACAGTCCATGAAATCATGTATGACCTATATACATTTTGGCCTACTCTTACAATTTCTGGTTGGTTCAGTGTGCCATGCCATCTGAGGAAACTGGGTTAATGCACAAAGCCATGTTCTAGTGAAGGATGGGTACTCAGATCCTGCAAACACATCTAATTGTATCAACCTTACTCTGTGTTATCAACAAAACTCCAGGTTTGAGGCCTAGTCCAAGTCCACAACTCTTTCCCCTAATTTTGGAATGAAGTGTGCTTTTAAGGAGAGAAAATATGTTCAGGTGGTTAATAAGTAAGATACAACTGAGGTATGAGGCCAAGACAGATTACATACCACAAGTTTCTGTATTATTCCTGTTCATGAATCAAAACTGAACTTCTATTTAAGTCTGACTGAAAAGAAACCCCAAACTACACCATTGAGGTTAAATAGAATACCTTTTTCCCACTCACTCCCCCAAATCGCAGACTGATTAAAAAATGAGATTTCTACAATGCCTTATTATAAATGAAATGTAACTCCCTTTACACCAGCCAAAAAAAAAATTAAAAAGGAGGAAGGAAGTGAAGCACATGTAGGAGTAAGAAATTCCAGGCAATTCAGGGACACCCTTTAGTAGACATTTTCTCCGAACACTTTATACCAAGCAAAGTTCAGTGTTTGTTTTTAAAACTTGCACACTCCAGAAAATCCACAGCCACGTTGTTTTTCTAGTTTGGCTCCGTTTTCCCCTGGTTTCCCTTCAACCACTGAATAATCCACCTCTTTTTCCAACTAAGAATCCAGAAGGATAATAAAGTGAATTACATTTACCATGGGCAGATAGATGATTAACCAAATCCAGTCCTGTACTGCAAATATATCCTCTGCTTCCAAAACATACCATTAAAAGAAGAAAAAAGAAATTGCACCGTTCACTGATATGATCTTGAGACTTTTTACACGTGGAAGAGAACGGGGTAAAGCCACCCTGATTTCAAAACTAGGCCTTATAGACATGTAACTCTTGAATTTTGCACCATTGTTTTCCCAGAGACCAAAGTTCATTCCAGAACTTGTCTATTAGGTTATAGTTTACAATTCTGTCCCTGGAACAGTTTAAAAGGGTTTTGATCTTTTTGCTCCAATTTCCAACACAACGTCCACAAAAGCAAATAATCATTATTCCATAAGACATAACAGCCTAGATTTTAAAAGAGTAGAAAGAAGCCATCAAAAGCCCTTTCCCCCCCTTTATTATTTTGCAAAGACACAGCAAAAGCCGCTGCTAAACTCTCCCCCTCCCCCACCAGTGTGCGTTCACTCTGCCACATTCCTTCCCCTCCCCCACACCGCTTGCAAACAAGACATTTAAGGCGCAAACCACATCAAACGAAAGTTTTCTTTCAACCCACACTTTAATTCCCAATCATTGGGGGGAAAATAAATTCTACTGACCTTTCTGTTTGGGGGAAAAAAAACAACCCTACACGCAAGCACAAGCAAAACACACTTTCCAACTTGGATCTTTTTTTATAAGACACCTCTTCTTGTGTGTGTGTGCGTTTCTTTCCAGCAAAAATATTGTACATACGTGTGTGTGTGTGTGTGTGTGTACATATATATCCGCCGATGCAAAATAAAAAACTGTCCTCTGCCCCAAATCGTCTAAAAATAGGCAATCAAGCCAGCTTGCTTCATAATGGCTGCTGGCTTTGCATTTATTAGTGCAAAGGCTTCTCTTCTTCTCTTCCCCCCCCCCGCCACACTTTCCAAAAACGCGATGAATCAACACTTTCCCCTCCCCACCACCAATGTATTTTTTTTAATTAATTAAAAGACCAGAAGGGGGGGGCTGAAAACACCTCCAGAAAGATGAGCGGAGGAAAAAAAAGAGGTCGAAAAAGATTAAAGTTAAAAGACACAAGCCTTCCCAAGGGGGGGGGGGGCAATGCTTGTTACACTTCTGCCCCTCCCCCACGCGTTGCTTCCTCCAACTAGCTACAAACACAGGCGCCCCTCCCCCACAGCCCTACCCCCCCTTCCCTCAATTCCCTTTCCAGCAACGCCCTCCCTGAACTCCCACTCTCGCCCCCCCCCGCGAAATAACCCCTTAAAATATACTTTAGGGCGCCTGAAATATTTCCTAGCTTGCAACTTACATATTTAACTGCGCTGAGGTTACAAGACAAACATGCACATAGGGAAAGGGGAGGAAGGGGGGGTAGAGAAACTCTTTTTTTTTTATAAATTTCTTACCTTGCAATTGATGGCTTAGTATGGCTCTCCGCCCCCCCTCCTTTTGCAATGGAGGCAAAAGAGGAGGAAAAAGCCCCCCACGCTGACACACATAGAGCAATATTTCATGCAGCTTCCTCCTTCTCTTAAGAGGTATAATATATGGGTTTGCAATTGCGGGTGCAGCCCAAAGGGGGAAGGGAAGAAAAAGAGAGGAAAAAAAAAAGACTTCAAGTAGCCACCGGGAAAGGGGGGGAGGTGGAAATGCAATGTATTCAATTATGACCCGAGTCTGGGTGAGGGGTGTGTGTGCGTGTGTATGTATGTGTATGTTGAGAGAGCGAGAGCTGATGCTGCTGGAGGGGGGGGATGGGAAGCGAGAAGCGGTGGGGGGAAATTATAGATTAAGTCCCAAGGAAGGAGGAGGAGGAGGAGGAGGCAATCAAAGGAGGGGGGAGGGGGAAAAAAGTAATGCTTTTTGTGTGCGCGCCTGAGTGTGTGTATATATGTGTGTGTGCGTGTGTGATTTCGATTGAAGAGGAATTGAGGCAGAATGTAAAAGCTGTTACTAAGGGAAGGAGCCAAAACCGCTCTGAACAGCCAACGGCGCTCAGCAACTGGGGAGAGAAAGGTGGCCAGCCGTACAGAAATGAGCAGGGAGAAAAGAGAGGCGCTCTTGCACACAAACACACACGCACACACAGACACAAGAGGGGAAGGCGGGCTGGCTGGCAGGCAGGGCCCGGCCTTCTTCCTCGCTCGCCTTCTTTCGCCTACTTCCTGCGAAAACAAACCAGATTGGATTCCAAAGGAGGAGGAGGAGGGTGGAGGCAGGGCGCAGAAAAACACATCTGGATTCGCAAACAAGCAAACAACAACATTTAAAAATAATAATAAAAGCGGAGCCGTGCAAAAAAAAATAATAAAAATTTAGGCGGGCGCTAAAATTGCAAGCCCTGCAAAAGGGGGTGGGAGGGAGGGGGAGCTTCTTTCGCTGGCTTGTCGGAATTTCCTTGGAATCGTATATAGCCGGAGTCGTTTTAGGTTTGGGTGGTGGTTTTGTTGTTTTTATAATGATGATGGTTGGTGGATTAATGGATGGTTTGTTTGGGGAGGCGGGTGGGCGGTCTTTTTGAAGCGATGGACCGAATAGGAAAGAAGGATAAATCAAATAAGCATTATAACACACGCACACACACGCTCCAAAAAGAATGGGGCTGGCCACGCAAAGCAGGCGGGTGATTGGGGTTCATTGAGGAATGCAATGAGAAACGTGGGAAACCAGATCCTCACGCTAAACCATTAGATTGCTTGCTTCCTTGGGTTACGTGATGTCAGCCCAGGATGCGTGGCTTCTAATTTGCAAGCTTTGCACAGGGCTGAGTGCCAGTCTTTACAAGCACACTGGGGGCGTCCCAAAATGCATCAGTAGAAAGGGATGCGCAGGCATTTTCAGGGGAGGTGGGGGTGGGGGTGGAAGGAAAGCAACACATGTTGTGTGCAGACATAGCAGGGTCTCCGTGGCCCCATCCCAGTGAAAAAGAGAGGAAGGAAGAGATTAATCCTGCTGCTCAGCCCTGCTTTAAGCAGGCAACAGTGTAGCACAAAACCCAGCCCTTAGATCACAGCTGTGGGGTTTCCTGCACAATTTGCAGAGAAATAAAGAGAAAAGGCGCTCTTTTATTTTTCAAAAACGGGGTTAAAAACATGACGGTGAACACCCCGAGCGCCAGATCCTTTATTTATGCAATATTTATGCAATAAATAAATATGCAATCCAAATCACAAGGCGTTGGGAACGAAAACAACTAGTACGAATGCTGCATGGGGGAAGGAAAATGGGGGAGAAGGGGGGGGGAGGAGAGGCGGCCAGACAGGAAGTTGCATAAGCAGAGCAAGTCATTTGCTGTGCTTTCCGTTTGAAATTAAACGCACAGAAAGGAAAGAAGCCAGCATGCAAGAGAGAAAAACAAAAGGGGGGGAGGAAATAAATACGAGGAAGGAGGGAGTGCTAAAGCGAGGGACACACCCTGTTGCTAAAAAAATGTCCTCAGAAAACCAGCTACACACAAGACACCGTGATTGGGGGTGTGGGCCTCCTTTATGGTGGTATCAAACTAGGGCAAAATTGTAGGGAGCAGAGACGTTAAGTGGGAAGAGGAGATGCTCTTTTTAATAGCCCCATCAACCAATTTACAAGAAATGATAATATTGATTGTAATTTGTACATGTACACCTTTTTATTTGCAATGTTGTCAGGGCACTACCATGAAATAGGTTTCAATTGTCACATCGGCCTCCCCTTGCATTTGTTAGGGAAGATGGGCAAAGGCACCAGTGTCAAATTTGTGGCGTCACATTGATGTCACATGGCATATCACAAGCTTTTCCTCTTCATGGAGCTGGGGTGGGTGTGGCCTGTGCGTGACGCATCTGGCCCGCAGGCCGCCAGTTTGACACCCCTGAGCAAAGGGAATTTAAGCTGGATTGTGTGGGAAAAAATATTATGATATTATAATATCATATGAACAAGCTTGTTGGTAGGAAAATGGGCAGATTTAAGAAGGCCCTCGGCCTAGTGGTTAATATGCTGGGCCCTCCTGCCAACCTAGCAGTTTGGAAGCATGCAAATGCGAGTAGATAAATAGGTACCACTTCGGTGGGAAGGCAAACCAAATTTGGTACACCTCGGTGTATAGTATTGCTAGGCACGTCACCATCGAAGCATCTTGAGACAATGCTGTCTCCTTCGGCTAGGAAATAGAAATAAGTATCACCCCCTAAAATCAGACATGACTAGACAGGAGAAATATTTACTTTGGGGGGTAAAATGGCCTTAAGAAATGAAAGCCTGTCAAGTTTAACTCTTAATGGTCTAATTCTCCAATCAGCATTTAATGTCCAGATCTACACCTGCCATAATTTCTCATCATTTCCCATCTGTCATAGTTTGGGCCATTGTGGGAAAGGTAACCCCACTAAGCATCATCCAAAGAGCCAGAGAGGGGAAAAGTAACTGCAACAGTTTCTCACAATTATTGTGATTTACTGTGCTTCTACATAAGTGCATTTGCATGAAAGTATTGTATCGCGGTTTGCTGAGAAGACCAATGCTATCCAGTATTTATGTGCTCTACTGTGAATGCGTGTCCAGGTAGTACACCTTACAACTCAATTGGATTAGAATTCGTTACTAAAACAGGTGATTGTTAAGTGAGTCACACCCAATATTTTTCCCAGGGTTGTTAAGCTTCACATCTGTCAGATATGATTATTCCCATTTTGAAAGGCAACATACCATAACATCCAGGGTCTAGTTATTTGCAGGACATTTATCTATAATTGTTCTATAAGCATGGAAAGATGAGACATGCCCCATGTTCCATAATAAAATAGGACCCAGGAAGTGTGCCTAATCTGGATGACTCTAAGCCTTTAGAGCAGGGGTATCAAACTCAAGGCCCATGGGCTGGATCCGGCCTGTGTGGTGTTTAGATCTAGCCACTGGGGCCACCCTGGAAACAGTGAAGGACCAACCCGCGGTGCCTCTGCCAATGAAAATGGAGCTCTGGCAGAGGGTTGCAGAAGGCCGTCGCAGCCAAAAACAGAGCTCTCAAGAGGCCATTTTCACTGGCAGAGAACTCATGCCACCACTGGCACCCCCGACATGAGTGATGTCAAGCTGGTCACGACCACCTCAACCACACCCACCTCAGCCCCACAAGGTCAAACACAACCCTGATGCGGCCCTCAAAGAAATCGAGTTTGAGACCCTTGCTTTAGAAGGACCTTGAAGAATTTATTCTTCTATGAAGCATTGGGCCAGAAGGCCAAAATAGTTGTCTGCTCACTCAAAATGTAACAATCCGCATGTCATAGTTGTGCCAGGCCTCTGTGGTTCCAGGTGGAGCAAGAGGAACTATAATCCTGTATTGACTCAGTTCTTCCAGTAGTGGTTTGCAGTTCTAGCATGGTTAGATCTTCAGTTCATGACAGACCCAGTTCCTTCTCTTACATCATCTTATATCCTATATCCTGATAGTGAACCTATAGCACACGTGCCGGAAGTGGCACGCAGAGCTGGCTCTGCCGGTATGAGAGCTGTCACCCCAGCTCATTCCCACTGCGTGTGCGCGCATGCCTCCTGCCAGCCAGCTGATTTTGGGGTATCTGCAGCACATGTGTGGGGGGTGGGGTGCATGCGGTAGATGTGTGCGCATGTGCGGGGGATCATGGGGGGGGTCTCACACATTTGCAGGAGGCGGGGAGCGCAGGAGGAGTGCACGCATGCACAGGGAGTGGGGAAACGGAGGCGCGTGTATTGCATTATGGGTGCAGGGGTACACATGCACACACACGCTTTCAGCATGCAACAACAAAAAGGTTAGCCACCTGCTATGTCCCTGACAACTACAGTTCCCAGTCAGGTCCGCCATAACCCTAGCTAGGGGAAAGGGGTGTTGTGTCCCTGATACCTGCAGTTCCCAGTCAGGTCCGCCATGACCCTAGCTAGGGGAAAGGGGTGTTGTGTCCCTGACACCGGCAGTTCCCAGTCAGGTCCGCCATAACCCTAGCTAGGGGGAAGGGGTGTTGTGTCCCTAACATCTGCAGTCCTCAGTCTGGTCCGCACTTCGAGCGGGAGCATCAACCATTCCCATTGGTTGAGGCCGTTTGACAGCTGCTATAAAAGGGAGCTGTCAAACGGCATCAGCTGGCTCTCGCTCTCGCCCTCTGGGCTGCCAGCCCAGCCAGGGCAGCCGCAGCAACCTGTTATGCTTCAATAAAGAGATGTTAACCTTCAGCTCCGTGTCTGCCTCGTTGTGTCCTGCCGACAACATAACACCACCACTGTCCTATATCCTCTGATGAGCCATGCTGGCGCAGTGGTTAAAATGCAGTATTTCTGGCTGACTCTGCCCAATGCCAGGAGTTCGATCCTGACCTGCTCAAGGTTGACTCAGCCTTCCATCCTTCTGAGGTTGGTAAAATGAGAACTCGGACTGTTGGAGGCAATTTGCTGACTCTGTAAATCATTAGTATTAGGGAGAAGTGTTAGGGAAGAGCTGTCTTCTCCATCTTTCTCTCACACAGACTCTCTGAGCTGAATTGCCTCTTGCTCCCCTAAAATGCATTCCCTCCCTTCTGGGAGTTTGAACTACATTCCATCCTGGAGATAGACAGTTTGGTCTAGTGGTTAAGACACCAGGCTAGAAACCAGGAAAGTCACTCACTCACTCTCTCAGCCCAACTCAAGTCACAGGGTTTTTTCTTGTGGGGCAAATAGGAGGAAAAAGGAGTATTAGGTGTTTAGCTATTTTGAATTCTTTATTAAAATATAATAATAAATGTTAGATGATAGATAGATAGATAGATAGATAGATAGATAGATAGATAGATAGAT